TTCGCTTCACACAGGCTTTGGAGCGAACTCAAAAGCCAAAGTCATCTTTTGCTACAAACCCAAGCACATTATGAGATTAACTATGAACACCCCAGCTAAGTTCACCGCATTCGCTAGTGAAATGCTCGTATCGGCTACACTCACATTATATAATGCCGCCGTTCATCTGTACATAACAATAGGAATACGTGCACATGCCCAAGTATCACAGAAGTAAAGCCAAGGTGATCTTTCTCTACAAATCCGAACACATTATAACATTAACTATGAACACCCGGGCTAACTTCACCGCATTCGGTATCATAGAAGTAAAGCCAAGCTGATCTTTCGCTGCAAATCCGAGCACGCATTCGCTACTATATATACATAGTTCGTTTGCAAACGAGCTACCGTTAACTCGGTTTTCTGTGGATTTACAATCCGTAAACGTTCGTTCAAACGCAAATGAGAGATAGAGTCATGGAATTAGCGCAGTGCTCAAATATAGCAAATGGGAATCTGCAACCACTAAGGTGCAAAGGGAAATTACATTTGTTTGGTAGTAAACAAAGCTGTTGAGAATCGCGCACCTCCCCCTAGCAAGTGTCTGTTCTGCAACTGCCGTGTGCCCTAGCCTGAGCTTGAGAAGCATATGCTCAAGAGTTTATAGTTAATAAGCTCAAGCCCAAATAGCCAGCGGTCTTGTTGCTTAAAGCTTACGCAGTGACTTCGCCTCCCATTCGCGTTTGAACGAACTTTTGCGGATTTTAAATCCACAGAAAACCGAGTAGTTGACTACCGGTGGCTTGTCATTTCTAATTATAGGCCATGTATTGGTCTTGGTCGCTCAGTCGAAAAATTGTTTGATTGTTAACCCCTTAAGCCCTGAGCCTCTTTTTCGAAAATGGCAAGCCCAAAATGAAATGAGTATATCTCTGCAACTATTTGGTCCATTTGAATAATCTTGGTATCATGATAAAGGTAAAACCATTTGGGATTTCTGCCATGGTGTAAAAATCAGTATATATGTCACGGAGTCAGAGTAAATTGAAGACCTCATTTTGCACCAAAAAAAGTTTTACTTCTATCCCTTGTAAACTAGTTGCAGTCTGAAACCTCTAAAAATTTACAGCACAGAATCTCACCATTATCTATGTCAAAGTTTATTCTAATCAAGTAAATCAGAACAAAATTGGAGAGGAATGTCTAGGTGGCTTCTCCAAATTGGCAATTCAGATACCTTGTGTGCCAAATCAGATTTCTCAGATATTAAACTGTAAAACTCATCTAATTTCACTTATATGTCACTACAGGCATACATTCCACCCAAATACAACCAGTTTTTAATTTTTAGAATTTATAATTTTTTTATTATTATTATTTCTGCCAGTCCTATAGCCTATACAATTTCCCATTCAAAGACAATAAATACAAAAAAAAATGAAGTTTGGCTCCACTGGAGCAGATTTATTTAAAACAAGTGTTTGCCACTAACATGGCAATATCCCCTGCCGTCCGTACGATATGTGTTCATACGGACGGACGTGACGGACGGACGGACGGAGCCCAATGCTATATCCCCCGCTTTGCGCTAAACGCGCGGCGGGGGATAAAAAGCAAATTAATAAGATTATGAATACAAAAAGGGTTTTTAAAAATGGGGAAAAAAAAGTCAAAAGAATAAAAACCCCAGCAATTATTTATACAAGCAAAGTGCTGCTAGTGTCTTATTAAAACACGCCTGCCCTGAGTCTCCAACACTGGACGTTTAGTTTGCAGTCCTGCGCCCTAACCACTAGGCTGTACCATTTCACAGACATGCTGCTCTCAAATTGTCAATATAAAGAATGAGTCAAAAAAACAAGTCACTCACCTTGTTTGTACTGTTGTGCCCTCTGTATTCACGCGTTTCTGTCAGAAAACGACTTTGAAAACGACTAGCGGATAATTATACCGAAAATACCACAAACAAACCTGTTAAGCGTTTATATTGTCGCGCTATTTAAGTACATTCGAATGGCCCATGGACTCGGTTTGACGCACTGGGGACACAAGGCTCTAGCTCAGGCTAGCTTTGTGCGATAAAGGTGCTTTAGGGCTCGTTGGAAACGTCAGAAGCCACAGAATCAAATGGCTAGCGGCAAAGTCTTACTGACAGCATCACAAGCCGATCAAAGAGAGGAAAATGCATTGCAAGCAAGCTGAATGCTGAAGAACTGAGATCTTTGAAGCAATGCTCGAGAAGAAAAACATGCTTTGAGACTCGCAGATCTAGTTTGATTATAACGGACACATTGAGCTAACAATAGCAAGTGGGGATTTACCCTCAAACAGTTAGTTTTCAGATAGTTTTTTAATAACAAAATATCAAAGGTATGAAATTTCTTTGCTCATCTCTGTAGACTGTAAAGTGTATGCCTGCTGTTCTTTGAGTGTGGTATTGGTTTAAAATGGCAGGGCTCATATCGTTGGAATCTGTGGACTTTCCTCTTTCATTTGAGGTATCGTTTGTATGCATAGCACAAAGTCAGGAGAAACTCTTGCGATTCAGTGCTTATATGATTTTATCCTATGTTTTGCTACATGCTTGAATTGTGTTCAGTTGAGGTAAAAATGGTCTACATGAGCTTTTTGCCAAGTTTCTTCGCGAAATGTGGATATGCCGCATGACAATGTTGCGATTTGGAAACATGCTGTATTTATCATGTGTAACCACTGCCCCCCGGTACCGGGACGTAGGGCTTAAGGGGTTAATCAGGTCAGCTTAAATAAAAAGAGCTTGTGGGCAGTCAAGCCGTGAAGGGTGAGTTTACTAAAGGCCCTCTGAACTTCTCCATGGCCCGGATGAAAGGAAAGAGAACAACTGACGTCACAAAAGAGAATAACTGACGCACAAGCACCGCTGCACTGGCGTTTGCTTGGATAATACTTTAGAAATGCACACTCACCCACTATATAGGGCACTATGTAATGAATTTTCTACACTGAAAACAATATAGAGAGTGAGTGAGCGAGTGGACAAGTGTGCATTCCGAACGCAGCCTTAGATTCCCCAAGTAAAAATGTCTGCCCCCTGGTATTGACGCTGATTTGAAGACTTTCCGGTTTAAAAATGCGTCGCACTGGATCATTACGAAATTAAAATTTATAAAACTATGCGTTTTAGACACTTCAAGAATTCTACTTTCCGCTGAAATATAATTTACCGAGGTGCGATTTCCTCCTTTAAGCCCAACATCCCCCTGGCGGTAATGCCGGCTTTACAGGATATTCAAATGACTGGCCGAAAGTCTCTGACCCTCAAACGCATAATTGCTTTCAAGGTGACCCTGTTCAAGATTGCTTGATTAATAATCACTCATTTGCTGAATAATCAAGGCTTATATATAAGCGTGTGATTATTAAGAAAGTATCAAGAAATGACAGATTGCTGAAGGGCTACTTTGACAGTGTACTTCATAGTGATATACTAAGTACAAATAATGAAAAAATAATCAATTAACCTAGTGCTTTCTCTGAATTCCATCTCCTGTTCTAGGATTTTTTTCAGTAGTGCAACCTAATTTATTTATGATTGCACTTAATCCTAATGTTTTCTGCATTCCAAAGAATAGGTTGCATTTGGAGGGAAGCATAGTTGCAGAATGGTTGCTGAGCCAAGCGATAATAATTAAGTTATTAAATTGCCAACGCTTCTTACGTCGAAGCGTTGGTAATTCAATGATTGGGTAAATTGGTTATCAGTGCATTGTGAAAGTTTGACACATGACATGCATTTAAATCATTTAAAATGCATGCCATGCATCGAACTTTCAAGGTAGTAAAGTCATTCATGAGGTTTTTACAGTCTTGCTTCTGAAATGGCAATTATTTAATTCAACGAAATCCAAACCTTATCCAAGTACCACCTTCTGCAGCATTTACTACATTACATTCTACTTCAAGATGGAATTTCGAGAAATTTCAGTTAACTACCGTCCATGCACTCTCATGCTTTCCCCGTTGATGCAAACTGTTTGTCTTAATTGTTAATGTCAGCGCCGCTTATTTGACGCCGCGTACTTGAAGTAAATTAATTCAATCTATGACTCAGTTCTCACTCGGGAATAGGCTGAGTGTTAATCTGCATTATGGTAATGTCACTGGTTGTAGACAGAGTTTTATTTTTACATGAGCAGCCTTAACACGCGCACCTGAGTCTGCAAAACCGCATTTTTAGAATAATTTTTTTAGGCGTATCAAGTCGATGGGACGCAATCGCAGAAAAAAAAATATTGTTTTGTGAGCTGCAGGAATTCAAAAGCTTCGTAAAACATTAACGTTTTATGTTAGGTTTGCCATTAATGTGGATAGGAAAATGCTTGATAATTGTTGCAGTGAACAAGCATGCAAGCTGAGGGGAAATGGATACAGATTGATCCTCGCAACTGAACAAATTATCACTTTTGGTAATTGGTAATTAGCAAACCTAAATGGGAACGGGTTTGGAGATGTAATGCACTTTAAGGTGAGGTGAGAGCAGTGCCAATATCCCTCCGTTGGCGACTCCCGAGTGGAAGAGTTAATCACTTGAGGATACCTTTTAGTTATGTTTATATCAGTATCTTCAGGAGTGAACTACTACCCCAATTCTGAAATAGTTGGGACAAAGTGTAAATTGTGAATAAAATTAAAATGCAATGACTTTCAAATCACTGCAGCCAGTATTTTATTCACAATAGAGCAGAGATAACATAGCAAATGTTGAAACTGAGAAATTGTACAATTTTATCCACAAAAGATACGCTTTATTGAACCCCATGGGGTAATTTGTCCTCTGCATGTGACCCATCCTATTGTTAGGAGCAGTGGGCAGCCACAGAGCAGCACCCGGGACCAACTCCAGTTCTAAAGCCACTTCCTTGGTCAGGGGTACTGGTTGGAGTGTTCCTATGATGCATGTTTTTGTGGGTGGGGGAAACCGGAGTACCCGGAGGAAACCCACGCGAACACGGGGAGAACATGCAAACTCCACACAGAAAGGCCCCAGGCCGGAATCGAACCCACGACCTTTTGCTGTGAGAAAATAGTGCGAACCACTATGCCACCGTGCCGCCAAAAATGAGCTCATTTCAAATTTGATGGCTGCTACAGATCTCAAAAAAGTTGGGACAGGGGCCTGTTTACCAGGGTGTAGCATACCCTCTTCTTTTTAACATAGAGTGGAGGCATCTGGGCATTGAGGAGACAAGTTTCTTGAGTTTAGCCATTGGAATTTGATCCCACTCTTTTTTAATATAGGCTTCCAGCTGCTGGAGAGTTTTGGGTCTCCTTTGACAGGCTTTTCGTTTAATTATTCGCCAAATGTTCTCAATCGGTGAAAGATCAGGACTGCAGGCAGGCCAGTTCAGCACACCTACTCTTCTACTACGAAGCCATGTTGTTGTCATAGCTGCAGTATGTGGTTTTGCATTGTCCTGCTGAAATACACAAGGCCTTCCCTGGAATAGATGTCATCTGGAGGGGAGCATATGTTGCTCTAAAACCTTTATATACCTTTCAGCATTCATGGTGCTTTTTAAAACATGCAAGTGTTCCACACCATATGCACTAATGCATCCCCATACCATCAGAGATGCTGGCTTTTGAACTGAACCCTGAAACAGGAGGGGTGGTCTTTCCCCTCTTTAGCCCGGAGGACACAATGCCCATGATAACCAACAAGAATGTCAAATTTGGACTCGTCTGACCACAGGACATTTTGCCAGTTTGCTACAGTCCACTTTAAATGAACCTTGGCCCACAGAACACGGCGGCACTTCTGGATCATGCTCAACAATGGCTTCCTTTTTGCATGATAGAGTTTTAGGTGGCATCTGTGGATGGCATGGCAGACTAGTAAGTAAGTAAGTTTAATTTATAGATCACATTTACACACAGCATACTGCTGTACAATGTCATTAAATGAGAGAACAAATTACAAAATATAATACAATGCAATAATACAATTACATCAAAATGTCAAAAACAAAAAAACAAAAAAAGGGGAGCCTTCAATATCAGGGCACACCACACAGACATGAACAGAAGGTAAATGGTTAGGGAGCGAGGAAGGCCAGGGAGTAAAGGTGGGTTTTTAGCCTGGATTTAAAAGCAGAAATGGAGGGGGCAGATCTAATGTCCAGGGGGAGCTGGTTCCACAAACGTGGAGCAGCGATGGCAAAGGCTCTGTCACCTCTCTGCTTGAGCCGTGAGCGTGGCACATGCAGAAGTCCTTTGCTAGAGGATCTAAGGGACCTTTGGGCCGAATGGGGCTGTACAAGGTCAGTGATGTAGGCTGGGGCCAGCCCATTAAGTGCCTTAAAAACAAATAATAAAACCTTGAACTGGATTCTAAAAAAAAATTGGGAGCCAGTGCAAGGAAGCCAAAATGGGGGTGATGTGCTCACGCCTCCTGGTGCCAGTTAAAAGACGCGCAGCTGCATGTTTTTTTCATGTTGACTATGTTTTTTTTTTTTTTTTTTTTTTTTCAAAGTCTTTTTATTGGTATTTAAAATTGTACAAAATGCAACTGTTGTAGATGCGGTTGACAGAAAATGAACACCCCCCTCCCCCCTCACAATACTGCTCTTACAGAGCCCCATCCCAGAACCACTGTACCATCAAAATTAAACAAAATACATTTCAAAATTAATCATCACTACATACAAATAAATAAATGCACAAAACCAGGATCGCAACGGAAAAACAGCACAATAGACTGTAAGAAGGAAGAAGAAAGAGAGAAAGAAAGAAAAATAAAAAAAAATGAAAAAAAACAAATCAGTAATTAAATTAAAATCACCATGTCTAATTACATTAATCACACTATGGGGGTCGGTTTTACAATACAACATTAGCGTCTAGTTTTTCAATATAAGTTAAGAATGGCTGCCATATCGTATAAAATTTCTTAGCACAGCCTCTCGTGGAATACCAAATTTTCCCCAGTGTTAAATAATGTAGAAGGTCTTTAATCCACGATTTAAAAGTTGGAGGAAATTTCTCCTTCCATTTATATAATATAAGTCGTCTAGCCACCAGAGACGCGAAGGCTATCATTTTTTGCTCAACGACTAAGCTGTGTTTCTAATGGAGTTACTCCAAATATTGCAGTAATGGCGGAAGGTTCTATAGGTACTTCTAAAACATCTGTAAAGGTTTTGAATATTAATTGCCAGAAATTGTTCAGTTTTGAGCAATCCCAGAACATATGTGAAAGAGTGGCTGGTGCTTGTCTGCATCTGTCACATACAGGATCAACATCCAGTCTGAATTTGGCTAGCTTTGTTTTAGACCAGTGGAGGCGATGTAAAATCTTAAATTGAACAACAATATGTCGTAAGCAGACAGAGGAGGAATGTATCCTATCTAGAGCTTTCTCCCAGACTTCATCAGTAAACTGTATACCCAGATCCTCTTCCCATTGATTCCTTAACAAAGTCAAGGGTTCTAAATTATATGAGACCAACATGGAGTAAACCATCCCAATAGATCCTTTAGAATGAGGGCTAATTTTCAGAATGTTATCTAAAAGAGAACTCGGTGGTTGTGATGGAAAATTGGTAGAAATGGTGGATAGAAAACTGCGGAGTTGCAGATATCTAAAAAAAATGGGAGCGGGGGATATTGTACTTTGACATTAGCTGATCGAAGGATACAAAAATATTATCAATAAACAGATCACTTAAAGAGGTAACCCCTTTTTCAGCCCAAATGTTGAGTGCTCCATCAATAATTGATGGTGCAAATAAATGATTTTTCACTATGGGGGCATGTACTGAGAAATCATTCAGTGAGTAGAATCGTCTAAACTGTGCCCAAATTTTTAATGAATGCTTTACTATCGGATTTGAACTATACTTAGAAATTGGTTCAGGTAGAGGTAATGTTGAGCAGAGCAGGGCGTGTAAGGAGGTGGGGCCGCAGGCTAAACTCTCCAATTTCAACCATTTTGGGACATTGTCACAGGATGAGGACTCCTTCCAGTATAATATAGCCCTTATGTTACAGCCCAATAGTAAAATTGAAAATTTAATCCACCGTGTCGGCGATGCCGCTGTAATATACTTTTCCGAATGCGAGGGTTCTTTTTATTCCAAATAAAACCAGATATCAATTTGTCTAAGGATTGAAAAAATGATTTAGTGATAAAAAGGGGGACACACTGAAAAACATACAGAAATTTGGGTAGCACCTTCATTTTGATTGCGTTTATTCTTCCTCCCAATGATAAAGGCAGTGTGCTCCAACGCTCCAAATCTTGTTTCAAGTGAGATAGTAACAGAGGGAAATTGGCTTTAAAGAGATCTTTGAAGTTGAGAGTAACCCAAATTCCTAAGTATTTAAATTTGGCTTTGCTTACTTTGAGGGGAAATAAATCAAATGCCATCATTTGCTGCAGAATTCACTGGCGTAAGTTCACTTTTTTGTAGATTAATTTTATTCCCCGATATTTTGCCAAAATCTTTCTAGGAGATAAAGTGTATTTGGTAAGCTAATTAACGGGTCAGACAGAAATAAAAGCATGCCGTCGGCGTAGAGGGATACTTTATGCTCTGTACCGTGTCTCTCCATTCCACCAATGTTAGCATCACTGTGCAGTGCAATTGCTAACGGTTTAATCGCAACAGTAAACAAAAGGGGCGATAGGGGGCAGCCTTGCCTTGTTCCACGACGGAGAGGGAAATAAGAGGAGAGATTGTCATTAGTTTGTGTGGCTGCTAGTGGAGAGGAGTAAAGCAACTTTATCCAGGATACAAATTTCAAACCAAAACCAAATTTTTTGAGAGTATAAAAAAGGTCATCCCATTAAACCCGATCGACTGCCTTCTCTGCGTCAAGTGATATTAGTACCTCTGGAACATCAGATGGGCAGGGGTCGTATAAGACATTAAATAGGAGTCATAAGTTAAAAAAAGAGTGGCGATTTTTTATAAACCCCGTTTGGTCATCGGATATAATTAGCGGTAAAACAACCACTAAACGATGGGCTAACATCTTAGAAAGAATTTTGCCATCTACATTTAAGAGTGAAATAGGACAAAATGAACTGCATTCTAAAGGGTTTTTATTCTTTTTAGGGATAAGTAAGATAACTGCCTGTCGCATAGTTGGAGGGAGGGTACCAGAAAAAAATGATTCTTCAAATACAGAGAGTAAAATGGGGGCAAGTTGAATGGAGAATTTCTTAAAAAATTCACTAGGAAACCCGTCCGGCCCCGGAGACTTCCCACCCTGCAGAGAATTAATCGCGTTTGAGAGCACCTCAATAGAAAATGGCTCCTCCAGACCAGATGAAGTTCCACCGTCTATTGCAGGGATGTCCAACTTCTCAAAAAATGAGTCAGAGGTTCGCTCTCCAGGGATTCCGAATTATACAATTTTGAGTAAAACTTGAGAAAACACTGATTAATCTCTGAATGATCTGTACGTTTGGCACCCAATTCATCGTTTATCTCAACAACTGTTCGATCTACAGTTCTCCGATGAAGCTGATAGGCAAGAATTTTCCCAGTCTTCTCGCCAAATTCGTGAGCCCTGCTCTGTGATTTACTAATGAGATTTTCAATATGTTTGGTTGATAAAAGGTTGAACTCAGTTTGCTAGACGTTGTTTAAATAGATCACTGGATGGTGCACGAGCGAGTGTTGCGTCTAAACTTAAAATATCATTAGTAAGTTGTTCAAGGCTTGCGTTGTGGCATTTCCTGTGTTGAGCACTATGTGATATAATTTGACCTCTGAGGTAGGCCTTCATTGATTCCCACACACCTGAAGAGGACATATCTGGCGTCTGATTATGTTCAAGAAAAAAAGTAATTTCAGTCGAAATAAAATTAACAAAGCTCTCATCTGAAAGTAATAATGGATTGAGTTGCCAAGGACGGTATTTGTTGACGGAGGTTGGTATGCCTAGTGTCATCAATAAAGGTGCGTGGTCTGAAATAACTATTGCCTGATATTGACACTTCTTCATCAATGGGAGGAGTTTTTTATCTAGAAAAAAATAATCTATGCGTGAGTATGTCCCATGGACTGGTGAACAAAAGGAGTAACACTTAGATGTGGGATTT